CAGATCCCTGAGCCACATATTGACTTAGAAAAACACAAACGAATACCATCTATGTTGTATTACATTTTCACTAATTTGGTTAAATGTTTCCCAATTACATTTTAATCTGGTTCAAGCAGCACCCTGGAGTTTTGCAGGCCCTGAGTTTTGGCCTCAATGGACTTTGAGATCCCCTCCTGCTTAAGTTCAATAAGCCTGTGAAATAGGAAATAAAAGCCCTTTGCTCAAGGAATTTATGGTCTAGATCAGTGGTTCTCAAACTTGGGAGCCACAAGACATCCATGGAAAGATTTCAGTATCCATGAACTTGGATTGGAAAAAATGAGATCTTTATTTATACTGACCTCTAACTGAAATCTAGCATTTCCTTCCATCATGAATGCAGGCAACAAACCAGAGCAGTATTAGGCTTCACCACACTGCCAAGGGGTCCATAACACACAAAAAAGATAAGACCCCTCCCCTAGTATAGACGGGGAGCCAATGCACACACGTAACACAACAACTAGTAAACAATACAAAATAGGACGTCATCAAATGCCAAAATGAACCAGTAGTATGCATAGTGAGTACCAAAGGCATGCCACACTGGGTCACTGCGATTGTGATTATGTGTGTACCTCACAATGAGGTGATGGTAATGAGGACTCTAGGTACAGTGAGTCCAGAATGACCGTCAGTAAGCCTTCTATGGATGGAAGATGTCAAGTAATTAAAAAGTGATAGCAACTCTGATCTTAAATTACAGGCCAAAAGGACAGGGCTGCTCCAGCCTCCATTTTCAATAGTGGGTCAGTTCTCCCAATAGTGGGAGTGGAGGTGGCTTGTGAGTAGCAAAGCACTCACTAGCCAGCACTCTTCTACCAAAAGGCTTCATTGAGGACAGTCAGTGGGGTACTGTTCCCACAGGCCTAAATGTCTTTGGGCATGACTCTCTGGACAAGGGGCCCTTCTTTCAGCTACCTGTCAGTCAATCACCCTGCTTTGGCCTCTCTTCAAGATCTGGAACCAACGGTAACTTATGCTGCCCTACAGAAAACTGCTGGGTCAGCTTTGACCCAGCCTTCAAGTCTGCAGTCCCAGAGAAGTCAACTGTCCTGCCTGAGTCACTCGGTAAATCAGCAACGGACCTTGGATATCAGCCCAGATCTCCTTAATCCCAGGACACTGTTCTAACAACCAGCTGACTTTGCCAGGAAGAATTCCCAGACATAGAGTCCAAAAAGCAGACTGTGACCCCACTGTTGGGATTGTGGGCAGTCAGCTTTCTGAAACTGAAGGCAATGCCTTGAACACTGTAGAGAGAAGAGAGGGGAGGTTCTTTTCCTACCTCTCCTGAACATGCTCTTGCCTGGACACAGATAGCCAAACCCATGTCCATTACTTAGGGCTAGAGGGAGAACAAGTTAATTAAAAGGCAAGACCACAAGGCACAGTGAAGACTGTGAGTCTCTGAGACATGTTGCTGCTCCTGCCAAGAGGAGCTGATGGACTATAAAAGCAGGAGATGCCTGAGCTATGGCATGATGCCTGTGGGCTCAGGGGCACAGATGGCTGCTGATTCTGCCTCCTACAAAGTCCACCCAAGTCCAGGGTGAAGCTCAGAAATGTCTGCTAACATTCTGATAATGCTAAAAGGTTTGCCAAACCCTTTATATACATAATCTCACTGGAATCTCAAATGGGTAAGTACTTATAGTATTATCCCCATTTAACAGATGAGAGAACTGAGGCAAGGATAGGTTGTGATTTGCCCACAGGTCACACAACCTGTGAGTGTCACAAGCAATAGTCAAATGCGGGTCTTCCCTTGACTCCACGTCTAACATTCTTTGCACCATGCCCTCAACTGCTCAGAAAGTATACGCCTGTATACTTGCAAGTCAAAATTTTTTCAACATATTATTGATTGGTGTGGCTGATTTTTTCCTCTTCTTCTTTTTCAAAACATTGTCCTAAGGGATAACACTCTGGGAGAGGGAAAGGAATGAACGCAGGGGGAAATCCAGGCAATATAAAAACAAAAGATATGAGTAAAAATCAACTTTTAAAAAAGAAAGCAGACTTATCCTTCAGGCATGTCAATTAATCAACAAATGGGTATTAAGCATCTACCTCATCCAAGGTGCTGTCTTGGGTTCTGTGGAAGACAGGGATGAACCTGGGATTTCATTGGTACAAGGAATTCCCAGGTGAAGAAATTTCAAACCAATATAGGCTGGAACAAAAGGCAATAGAAACAGGGGCTGCTAAACTGTATATAAAGATCCCAGCTGGCAGCATACTGGCTTAGAAAACCTCTTGTTAACATTATCTATGTTCTATTGTATTTTTACTTATTTTGCTAATATCTCCCGATTCTATTTTATGGCTGCCCCCTTTGGCCACTTGGGGCCTAGAGGAGAAGGCAAGCGACTTACTCAAGCTCATGCAACCAGGATGTGCAGCTCTTTAGCCACTATGCATCCTGGCCTCTCCGTGGAAGGTCCTTTGTATAAAACCCAGTCCCAGCCAAGGAAGAATATGGAGAATGTATCAATCGATCAACAAACATTTATTAAATGCCTGTTCTGTGCCAGGTACTGTGGTAAGTAATGAGGATACAGTGAGAAAAATGAACCAGTCTTTGTTTTCAAAGAGCACAAGGCATCTACCCAGGAAAAGTTAAATACAGTGCAAAATTATGAGATGATCCATCACCCCATGAGTGGGAGAGACACTAAAGGGCCACACTGGGCAATGAGGAGGGTGAAAGGACCGGAAATCACACCACAAGATGATCAGCTGCAAGACCCCAAGTCACTGAACCTAGTGGAGAGAAAGCTTGGGTGGGAGGGAACATTATATCTGCCTTCTAGTATCTGAAGGGCTGTTACAATAGCAGCTTGTGTTTGGGGAAGTGAGGTGGCACATGGATAAGGAACCTGGAGTCAGGAAGACTCATCTTCATGAGTTCAAATCCAGCCTCAGAAGAGTACTAGCTGAGTGACCCTGGGCAAGTTACTTCATCCTGTCTGCCTCAGTTTCCTCATCTGGAAAATGAGAAGGAAATGGCAAACTACTCCAGTGCCTTTGCCAAGAGAACCCCCAATGGGGTCACAAAGAGTCAGATACCACTGAACAACAACATGTACGAGTGAGACTAGCTCTGCTTGGTGGCAGAAGGCAGAACTGGGAGTGATGAGTGAAAGCTGATGAGAGCAAGGTTTAGGTCCAATGTAAGGAAAACATTCCCAACCCACTGACTGAGTGAGTCACGAGCATTTATTAAGCATGTACTTTGTGCCTGGGACTAGGTGTGGAAGACACAAGGAAAAGCAAAAAATCAAAGTCCCTGCCCTCGAGGAACACAAATTCTAATGGGAAAACTATGCAAATAAAGAGCTCCATGCCAGACATATACAGAGGCCAGATTTATACAGATGGTAACCTTGGAGGCAAGGCACTAGAAGTGGGGGGTGGAATACAGAGGAGTGGGGACTGGGAAAGGCCCTCTTGCAGAAGGTAGGATTTGAGCTTGAAAGAAGCCAGGGAAGCCAGGGAGCTGATGATGGATAGTCATCTTTCTGGAATTCTGCATTTTAGGCTTAGGGAAGACAGTCAGTGAAAAGAATCATCCCAAAGTTTCATGTGCGATCACTTTTTTTTTTATATTCTACTATGTCATGGAAATGTTTGTTTTATTTCTAAAGTTCAGAATAAAATAAATAAAATTCTAAAAAATAAAAACAAATGCAATGGGCCATACTGGAAGGTAGCCAAGCAAAAGCCGATGAGGACTACCTGCTGGGGATGTTGTAGAAGGGGGTCATGTGTTGAGTAAGGTGTCTCTGTTCCAATTCTGAGAAAAGGTTACTTTCAATGTAAAGTTTGGAAGACAGAAAGAGGTCATTCAGCTGGGGCTGGTCAGGGAGAATTTCATCAAGAAGTCAGGATGTAAAAACAGGGTGGCAAAGGATAACTACCTCAGTGGGGAAAAAATTAATATCAATCAATTTGGGAGCAACAATAGGTCAAGAAATTAGACCTATTACCCATTTCTCCATTCGGATTTTCTCCATGCACACCACAAAACCTGTACAACTTGGCAGGAGGTCTGAGAATTGTTGTGGCTCAAAAATTTGTCACCAGCCAACCCGGGCCTCTTAAAACTTAGCAAAAGTACATCCTGACAATCACTAGGATTTGTAGGGAAAGCCTTTTACATGGGGTAGGGTCTGCCCAGAAGTGAAGTTTGACAAATGAATGAAGGAATGAATTAATGAAAGAATGCTATGCTAGACACTGGAGGATGTGTGGAGAAGGCAGCTCCTGCTTTCAAGGAGCTCCCATTTTAATGGGAGAGACAACATTATGTAGGAGGTTTCAGCTATAAGCCAGATGCAAAGGTCCCGTGGTCTTCAGGGTGAAGCAGGAAAGCAGGTGCATCTTTTTTTTTAATGCTGTTTTCACTAACAAAAGCATATCTGTTTCTGATGTTGAACCATCTGACAGTGTTATGATGAGACATCAGAAAAGGACAAAGGGAAATACTAGGCTTACACTATGTACACCTATGTGTAGGACCTGAGGGCAGGAAATTCTGCTCTTAAAGTGTTTAAGTCACTTTGTACTCCACTGACACCTTATTCCAATGGCTCAGCAAGGTATGGAGGTACTAACCCTAATTCCTTTTTTTCCCTCAGTTTTTTTTTTTTGGCTAGGCAATGGGGTTAAGTGACTTTGGGCAGAGTTACACAGCTAGTAAGTGTCAAGTGTCTGAGGCCAGGTTTGAACTCAGGTCCTCAGTTTCTTTTCAAAGAATATATTTTGTTTTTACATCACCTTCATTTCTGCATATAATCCCCATCACCAAACCAATGAGCCATCCCTCAAAACCCTACCTCCACCCCAAAAAACAAATTAAGAGAAGGGCGGGGAGAAGCACTTCGACAAAGATAACCAACATAGCAATCAGGTCTGATGGTGTGCAGCTGTATTCCACATTCACATTCTCTCACCTCTGCAAGGGAAGGGAGGGAGGGTAGCTTTTCATCTCTTCTTTAGAGACAAGTGTGCAGTGACTTTGGTTCTTGAAAGTGAAGCCAGTGAAATGCAGGGTCTGGTAGGTCTTAAAAGTGAGAGGCAGGGAAGGGTACTGCACGGAGTGCTGGACACTTTGGAGTCATAGAGAGCAGGGTCCCAAGGCACTCTGATAGAAGCAGTCAAGGGGAAACTGTGAAAAGAGGATTAGGTCTAGAGTCAGGAAGACCCAAGTTAAAATCTAGCCTCAGGCACTTACTAGCTGTATGACTCTGAGTAAGTCACCTCACTGCTGTCTGCCTCAGTTTTCCCAAGTAAAATGTAAAATAAAAAAACAATAACAAAACCCTCCCAGGGCTGTTGTGAGGATCAAATGAGATATTTGTGTCAGGCTTAGCACAGCCTGACACAAAGTAGGCGCTTAATAAAGGCTTCTTCCTTTCCCTCACCAGTAGGCTGGCTACCAGGGAATGTAGGGGTTTTTTGGCCACAGCAACCTATAAAACAGATGGGGGAATGTGTTGTAATTTGCATCAGTGGAGGGAAGTGTCCAGACCCATGAAATCACACCTCTCTAGAAAGTACTTAAATAAATCAAACTAGGTCTAACTTCAATCTCAACTTGGTATTTGGTTCCCTGAATTTACAACTTTGGGCCCACGAGACAATCAAGACCACTTGCAATATATTGCCATGTTGACCTAAAAGCCCTTTCTCTTGGAAACAATATAAAACAGTCAGATCTCCTAGTTTTTGGCATAAGTTCATGGCACTCTTAGAATCCAATTTTATTACACCAAGTTCCTCTGGAAAAAAAAAACCAGCAGGCTGTCTTGCAGCTTGATACAAGCTGGGAGCTCTGATTTGGAGCCTGGCCCTCCCCTCCAGGATTCCTGGCCTGCTCCTAGGCCAATGGGCTTTCTCCCCTTCCTAGCTGTCAGGTCCACAACCCTCCACCTCAAAAAAAAAAAGGCAAAACTAATCTTCCTAACTCTCATCACTTCCAGACCTCACCCCTGTCAGCATTTTAGGACCTCTAGCTTCCCACTAAGATTTCTTTTTTTTTTTTGATGGAGGGAGATTCCATTAAAACATGATCATGGGCTGGGGTGGGGTGGGGAGTTATCATAGCTGCTTCCAAGTACTTGAAAGACTGTCCATCATGTGGAAAAGGGTTTAGACTAGTTCTGCCTGGCCCCAGAGGGCAGAATCAGAAACAACAAGGTTGGAAGATGCAGGGACGAAAAGTCAGGCCTAGTAACAAGGGAAAAGTCCTGACAATGAGAGCAGTCCCTAAGCTGAAATAGGAGGCAATGGATTCTCCCTCACATCAGATCTTCAGGCAGAAGTGATTTCATTGGTTCACAGATCAAGAGTTGTAATACACCTTGGAGACCATCTAGTACAGTTCATAGATGCACAAACTGAGGACCAGCAAAGTTAAGCAACCTGCCCAATATCACGTGGGTAGGATTCGAACCCCAGTCCCTTCAGTACTAAAGTGCTCTTTGCATTGTGCCATATTTCCCTCCTGATACCCACTTGTCAGAAATGCTCTGGACTGGACTCTTGTTCAAGTTGAGCTCTAGACAGCTCCTGAGAGTGCTTTCGGTTCCAGAATTCCGAGGTTCTATGATCGTACCTGTTTTCTGGCCTGCCTATACTGTTTACAAATAGTCCTGAAGAAGCAAGTTTAACAAACAAAGGAAAAATGAAAATTACTTGGCAATTCCTTCCCTTCCCACCCTCTTTTCTTGCCCCTTGTCCCAGAATGTCCTGAGTGGTCCCTTGGGCACTCTCCGAACACAGACTGGGGCCAGGCGTGGAGGAGATGGTTTTGTTGTTAGGCCAGCTTTAGCAGTATTCACATATTTTAAGAACAGCAGGAAAGTAATATTGACTGAAAGGAATTCTACATACCATTTAACTAAATGGCTCTACAGCTGCAGAGATCTATAGACTGGAAGCATTATGATTCAAGGGCTCTCAATTACAGTGATCCTCTTTTATTGTATAAAAACACCAAAAGGGTGGGCTATTCCTCCTCTCCCTGCCACAACCCAGGATCCCAATCTTCAGGTGTTTCTACTAGCGTGGTTCTTGGGACACTGGAGACAGCTTCAAAATAGAGAGGCAAGAAAAGAGTTCAATGTCATGCCTAGGGAACCATTCTTCTATCTGAGACAGCATGGTGCCACATGAAGAGTGCTGTCTTTGGGGTCAAAGGACCCCAGTTCAAATCCTGATTCTTTCATTTACCTTGGACAAGTCATTTAAATAACATAAGCCAGCATTTATATAGGGCTTTGGGCTTTTAAGGTTTGCAAAATGCTTTACAAAAATTATCTCATTTTATCCTCGAGACACCCATGGCAGGTAGTCATAATAATAATAAGTGCTAACATTTATATAGCGCTTACTATGTGCCAGGCATTATGTTAAATGCTTTACAATCATTACCTCATTTTGTTCCTTACAAAAGCCCTTCGTGGAAGGTGTTATTATGCCCATTTTACATATGAGGAAACCGGGGCAGATTGCAGTTAAGTCCCTTGACCAAAGTGCCAGGTCTTCCTGAGTCCAGGTCCAGCCACTTAGAAGCCTGAATCATTTATCTAGACTCATTATCTATGCCTCTTTCTATAAAGTAAAAAGGTTCTAGTAGGTGGCTTCTAAGTTCCCTTCTAGCTAATCTACGTCTTTTAATAACATTTGAAAAGGGCTCATGTTTAAACACAGGAGTTTGGGATTTGGAGCAGGAAGGTGCTCATTTGGAGTTCATTTACCCCAAACCCCTCACTTTACAGAAGAGGAAGCTGAGGCCCAGAAAGGTTAAGTGATTTTTCCCCTCCAAAATCACACTGCTACTTAAGAAGCAGAACCAGGATTCAAACTCTTGACATCTTGTTTTATGTTCTTTCCGCTGCACCCCACTGCCTACTAGACTCGCATCCAAGGCCGTTTGCAAGGCTTTTTAAAAGCATGTTTTAAAAACCTCTGTTTCTTTCTGCTCCATTTCTCTTAAGTTATAATGGGAACGTTAGATCAGAGAGAATGCTGAACATACAGCAGGAAAGCAGGGTGTGCATGGCTCTTCACCAACACATAGAAGGGGAGCCAGGCCACGGCAAGAGAGGGTCAAGTGGAGGGGATGTGCACTGGTGGGCAGAGGACAAAATGTCAATGGGACAATCACATTATACATACGATATATTTGTATGATAAATACAAAGATCTACCAAAATAGGTTTCTGCAGACATCACCTAATCCTGAGTTATCCCAGCACACCAAGATAGACCAGTGCTCGATGGTTAACTCCCACAACCTTTCCAGCCTTATCTCTCCGCCACAGTACCAACTAATGGGGGGCACATGGGGCTTTGTCCAGAGAATGGACACAAGGTGAGGCAGTACCTCCTCTCCTCAGGCCTGTGGATGCTGCTAGTCATGTACATGCCCCAAGGCTATCACTGCCAGGGTCTAGTCACTGTGGAAGCCTTCTCACAGGGGCCTACTCTCTTTTCTAGTCCCTGTAGGAACAAGGCCCTAGCTCTTTGAGGAACAATTTGATGTTACATCCTCTGATCAACTAACTTTGCCCCAGGTACCATAATTCCTAGTTCTGAATTTGCTCCCTCTATAGTCTACCTTCCAATCGAACTGTCCTTTTCCCTGCTGGTTCCTTTCCTGAAGTTGGGAAGACTCATCTTCCTGAATTCAAATCTGGCCTCAGACACTTACTAGCTGTGTGATCCTGGACAAGTCACTTAACCCCGTTTTCCTTAGTTCCTTATCTGTAAAATGAACCGGAGAAGGAAACGGCAAACCACTCTAGTATCTTTGCCAAGATCTCTGTCTTCATGCTGTTTGCTCCCTTGAAGCTTCCCATACCTAGCATGCCCTTCCTCCTCCTCTTCGACAGCTGAATTCTCACCTCATTGTTTGAAAGGCAATTCTAATGCTATCCACTCCAGAAGACCTTCTCTGAAACACTGTGTAACCCTTCTTGGTAATAACTACAGATCTAAGCTTACCTTTCAAACAACTTTCTCCCCTTTCCCCCCCCTCCAGTTCAGAGGGTTTTTTTGCACCTCTCTAAAATACTTATGATGCATTAGTGTGTATCACCAATTGGTGGAACACAGTAGGCACTTCATAAATGCTATCTGTTGACTGATTGATCTTAGTTATCTGTGTATGTGTCTTACCCTCCTTCTATGCTATAAACTCTGGGAGGGCTAGGACCAAGTCTTGTCTAAACTTTGTTTCCTGGCATTTATCCCAAGTGCTTTGTACTGAGTAGGTATTTACTTGATAAATAATTTGCTGAAACGAATTATTTTTTAATACTCCATGGTCTGAGTCATCCACAGATTGTTAGAGCTAGAAAGCGCTTTGGATATTATCTAGTCCAACACTTTCATTTTAAAGAGAAGAAACTGAGGACCAAAGAAGTGAAATCTACTGGGCCAGTAGTGATTTCACCTCTCTACACTACACATGTGCATAAGGACATTTCTGGAATGTCTTCCCTCCTCTTCTTTGACTTCCAGAATCCTTCTATTCCAAGGCTCATCTCCAGCTTCCCCCATACAATCTCTCCCTCCACCTTTCAGGGCTCTTTTCTTTCTCAAATTACCTGGCATTAAAGTGATATGTGTACATGTTCTATTCCCAATCTCAACAGAATGTGAGCTCCTTGGGGGAAGGGTCTGGATTTTTTGTTGTTGCTGTTTTTCTGGCTGTGTAACCCTAGCACAGTGCCTTGCACATGGTAGGTATTTAACAAATAAATCTTTGTTGAATGGAATTGAAATGACTTGTCCAAGGTCAAGTTGGCTGGTTGCTGTCTTCTTTCTAGAAGAGGACCAAAATGCCATAACTAGGTTGGGGTCAAGGTACAGTGTGTCTGACTGTGGCTGGTCAGACCAATTCAAGCTTAGAAGGCTCTACCACAGGTCAGGAACAAAGAGTCTGTATGAATGTTTACAGTGGACCAAGGTCAAGTAGGAAGTTGGTGGAAAAACCAAGACTAGAATACAGGCTTTTCTAATGAAATGTGTCACCTTGGGCAAGTGACTTTTGAGCCTCAGTTTCCTCTGCTATAAAATGACAAGGCTGAACTAGGTGGCCTCTAAGAATCCTGCCAGCTTTAAATCTGTGATCCCATGATTCCCAGACCTCCTCACTCA